GCCTTTTTTTTTTTTTTTTTTTTTTTTTGAGACAGAATTTTACTCTTGTTCCCCAAGCTGGAGTGCAGTGGCAGGATCTCGGGTCACTGCAACCTCCGCCTTCCAGTTTCAAGCGATTTTCCTGCCCCAGCCTCCAGAGTAGGCTCCTGCCACCATGTCCGGCTAATTTTTGTATTTTCAGTAGAGACAGGATTTCACCATGTTGGCCAGGCTGGTCTCGAACTCTGGACCTCATGATCCGCCCACCTCAGCCTTCCAAGTTGCTGGGATTACAGCCATGAGCCACCATGCCTGGCTGAATCACTCCTTTGTAAGGCAAACTCTCTCCTATCTTTCCAGTCTCACCTGAATAGCCACGGCAAGGAGGTTGGACTTTGTCATCAGGAACTCCAGGCAGCCCTCCCTGAAGGCCTTCCCTCTCCCTCCTGGGTCAGGAACCTCCTCTGGGCTCTGAGTGCCTGTGGGCTTTCCCATTATAGCCCTGATAACTTTGGCCTGTGCCTGTCCCTTCTCACAGCCCCATCACTCTGGGCCAGGAGCCAGCCAGCCAGGTCATTACTGACATCCACACAGAGAAAGGAACAGACCAGATCTCACCTCATCTTTTGCCTGGAGCAAAAATTCACTGCCATCCTGGGTCCTGCAGGAAGGGACACAGGACTTGAGGGATCTGGGGAAGGGGCCCAACCCACCTGCCCACCAACTGTCCCCCAGGGAAGCCAGGGTCCCACTGGGAGGGGAAGCTGAGCCTTGGATCCCTCCCTCCTGCCCACTGGGGGGCTCACTGGAGCTTGAAGACATGCTTCTTTTTCTTGTAGTCACTAGCCACCTCACTGGTGGCTTTGTGCAGGCTGAGCAGCGGCTCCCCACCGTGTGTGCTCCCAGATGCCGGGCCCTTGGAGTCCTTGTAGAAGCCCAGTTCCCCCTTACTAAGCACACAGTACAGGCTCATCCACGACCTGCAGCGACAAGATGGGGCTCAAGGCAGAGCCGCAGCACTCAGCCTGAGGACTCTCATTAACATCCTCATGGGCTGAATATACCTGAGCTTTCCTACCTCTGGACCTTTGCACCCTAGTTGGGCCATATGCTTAAAATGCTCTCACTTATGGCTGTTGCTGCCCCGAGGGGAGCATCTAAGTCTCTCAGTACCAAGCCTTTGCCCAGGCTGGGGTTTCCCTTCCTATCCCCTCCCATACTGGATTTCCTGAAGGTAAGACTTAAGCTGTCTCCTCCATAAGCCTTTGCTCCACTCATTCCTTCCCACTCATGGAGCTTCCTCAAGGAAGGTCGATTGGTCTATTGTCTGGAATAAGGAATTCCTGTCTCTCCAGCCATCCAAAGCCCCGATCCAGGAGAAATCCCTCTAAGAACAAGATATACTAGGTGCCCTTGTTTATTACTACCTTGGCATTAGGTACGAAAAAGAAAGACCACTTATAGATTCCACCAGCAAAATCTGAATCTGTCCTGCCCACTTCATATCTTGGGTCTCGCCCTCACTCCATTATTGGCTGGTGCTACCCCTTTTTAGCTCCACTTGTCCCCAGATTCTGCCTCTCAGTTGGACAAAAAGAGGTCGCACAAGCAGGAGCTGGACTCCAAGAGCAGGCAAATCATGACTAGACCCTCATTTGGAACACCTGCAAGAGATTACTCCCCCCTCCTAACCCCTACCCTCATTAGTTTGGTCTCTGCCCCTTTTCGGACCCCTCCCCAGTTTGAAACTTCAAGGGTGGACCCACCCCACTCATAGGTTGGATGACCTCTCAAGGCTCCACGACAAGCCATTTAAACCTTCTCAGCTAGACTCCTCCCTGTTTGCTATTTAGCTAGTCAACTCCTGGGTTGATTAGATTCCAATTTACTCACTTTCAGGACATTTTCCTTCAGTTCCCACCTAAGCTCCACCCGTCAGCCATTAGATGCACTAACCTTAGGTCTTGCCCCCTCCTGTTCATTGGTTGGAATCATCAAAGTTGAACCCCACCCCTCCTCTGGCCCCACCTACCACCCCCACCGGTTGGAGGGCCTGAAGTTGAGCCACACCCCCTCCTCCGTCCCACCTCTCCACTCATTGGACACCCTGAACCTGAGACCCGCCTTCCAAAGCCCCGCCCACACGCTCACCGGTTGGACGACTTGCGGTTAGCGTCGAGCTCGCGCTTGCGCAGTAGGAAGCCCTCGTGCTGCACTGTGTGAGTGGGCGGTGGCGGAGGCGCGGGGGCGGAGCCGCCCTGGGCCGGGGCGGAGCGCGAGCGCCGGCTTCCCCCGCCCTCACCACCCTCTCTGGGCCGCGGCCGCCGTCGCGGCTTGGGCCGGTCCCGCGCCCGGGGCCGGTCCGGCCGAGGTGTCCGCTCGGGCGGCTCAAGCCCGTTGGGCAGGCGGCCGGGGGGAAGCTCGCGTGGCTGAGGCAGCGACGGCTGTGTGAAGGGAGGGGGAAGAGGGGTGCTGTCCATGGAGGGGGTGTGGGGATCATCTGTTTGGGGTAGCTCATGGGTCTGGGGTCCCATCCGTCTGCAGGGCCGTCTGTCTTGGAGGCGAGTATGGGAGGACCCCAGGGTTGGAGGCCCAATTCTTAGGGTCCCACGGGTCTTGGAAGTGGGGCCCTAAACTCATTGGTTTGGAATCCCTCTCGGTGGTGGGAAGAGGCAGCCAGATCTGCAGAGGTGGGGGTGCAAGCAGGGCGTGTCCCCGCTGTCTGCAGGAGGAATCTGGGGCTTCCTGCTGTGTGTGTGTGTGTGTGTGTGTGTGTGTGTGTGTGTGTGTGTGTG